GCTAATAAATTTGTTAGTCTCTAAGGTGCCACAAGTACTCCTGTTCTTTTTGCGGATACAGTCTAACACGGCTGCTACTCTGAAACCTGAAATAAAAATGTGCTGGAACTAGCAACAAAAGTGTATCATTTAACAATTTTTATCATATTTGCTTTAAATTATCATTGTTGCCCACGAACAATGCAAGAGAGATTAGGATTATTAATGATACTGAAGCCTTACAAAACATTAGATTCCCAATCCTCTGCAAAAATTGAAAATGCTATTGCCTGTGCCAAATAACTTTCAAGTCAGTGTAAAAAATAAGGATATTAACTAGACATTTCATATTATATTATTATTGAGGGGATTTGGCAAAAAAGCTGGTATGCAGGAGCACTATGAATATCTTTCAAAGAGAAAATGTTCAGTATTTCCCTTCCCCAGATCTTCTGTATGAATAGGTATATGAATTACTCAAGTATTCACTATTTTTCTTCTTATTTCTCCCTTTTTAGGAACCTAGTGGGGTTTAAAAGTTAGGGAAGTAAGTTGTGAATGTTAAAGTGAAAGTGAATTTGCATTTCTTTGGTGGAAAGATCATTTTTAGCCTTTGCATTCCCTTTTGTTCAATATGAAGTGAATGTTGGCACTAGTACCCTATTTATCGCACTTCTACCATGGGAATTATGGATCCCCAGCAGAAGGCAGAAGGCAGTGGCACATCATTGATACAGATGCCAGAGTGATAAAGGACTATCATTCTAAGAATATAGATTGTTTAAATCATGCAGATTTATTTAAATGTATAAGAAACTACAAGATTGTTACATAATTTAAAATATTGGTGTACTTGTTTTCTCAACTTTTTGCAGAAAGTATTAAGAATAGTAGTATAAAGAACCTCTTCACCGCATACACTTTCCAAGAGTTTCTTTATACTATTATGGACAAACGTGGGATTTGTTCACCTGAGTTGGGGAACTAATGGGAAAATGTGAGTTTAAAAGCACAATGTTAATTTGCGGAAAGGTTTACAGCTGGTCAGTTTGACCTGATTTGTTTTCAGCAGCATTATCTCTTTGAAGAATGAAAGCCATTCGCTGTTAATGTGAATATACATTGTCTTCTAAAATGTGTTAGTGTCAGTTGGAAATGAAACATGACTAGCTGCTCTGACTGCTGAGCAGTCTAATACAGTTTAGGAAACAAAATGATTATTGTAATTCAATTGTGTTTATAATTTCTTATATTTTGAAATGTGATTGTTATTTCACAGCCTCTTGCCAGGACCCCATGTGTCAGTATCTAGAATTTATGAATTTTCAACAGCCTTTGCTCTTATAATATGCAGCAAGAAGCACAGATGTCTCATTCCTTTTTTCAGATCCTTACACTTGCATTAGGTAAATGGAAGACCAAGCATTTTTTCCTAATCCAGCATCCACAAACCCATGCAAAGTGCAGAAAAAAGTCAAGCCTCCAGATTTAATCTTTCTATATATGGAATTACCAACTAAAGCTGTGATGATCTGATAGATCTCCTGAGTTCACATAGACAAACTGAGTTCCCATCAGTACTTAGATGGGAAAACTCTTTGGAATTACTAGATGCTGCAGAAAGTGACGTTGATGGCTCACCATGTGGCATGCTCCCTGCTGAGAAGTACAGACTCAATACCCCCATCATGATGTTAGGACCATATGGGATGCTGTAGGTGTCATCTATACCTCGTAGGACATAAAAACAGAGGCCACGACCACTTATACTTGTTAAAGACCTTGGGTGAGGTTCTGTGCTGCATTGAATTCAGTCCAGGAGGAGACAAGTTTCCAGGGGCTTTAAGCCACGTTTGCACCCTCCTCCTGATCCTGGTCTACCAGGAACGAGCCCAGCCCAGTCACTGACATCATTTAGACAGGCCTGAAAAGCCCTTGTGATGGGGTCTATCAGGCATTTTCTGGTCCCAGCTGGCGGGTGTTGATGCCTGGATACCCCCTGCTGAAGAAACCCACTCAGACCAGGCTAAAAGGGCCAGGAGGAGACAGTGACCAATTGGGAGCCAGCAACCCAGTGAGTAGGCTTGCCTGCTTCTTCTCGGGGCCCAGGAGCAGTGCTGGGTGAGACTGGGGCAGAGCAGGAGCTCATCAGTGCTAGCACAGAACCCCAGTGCCTAGTCAGGGCCTTGCCCTCAAGCACTGCAACTAAGTGGTTGCCTTTGAGTTTCGTTTGTTTATTTAAAGGCGCAGACAAATTATGAGTGGTGTTATCCTCTGTTAAATGTTCAGAGACTGATGCCACACTTGTAGCACAGGCCACCCTGCTTCAAGAAGTGGCCACAACTTGTGGACAAAAGCAGGGATTGCCTGCAGTACCTCATGCTTGGGCCCACCATAGGTGTGACAGGGCATCCCCACCTGTGACCACCCACTCCCAATGTTCTCCTGCCATCCCCCGCCCGGTTCATGACGAACCATTTGCACCCTTACGCCTTTCAAAGTTAAGTTAAACAGGAACATGCCACTCTTGTTCCAGCATAAGAATGTCCACACATGGAGTTATTCCTGAGTAACTTCATATGTAGAGAAGCCCTTAGACCCCCAGCCTGCAAACTCTTAAACATGTACTTAACTTAATGTATATGAATAGTCTCTCTTGACATTACATGCAAATGTGTTTGGGTGATATCAAGAGGGAAACAGTGTCTTGGTCCATCTGGATATTTTAGCTTATTTACAGAGTAGAGGCAGAATCCCCAAGAACCCAGCCAGCTCTTCCACCCCATCCACCCAGCTTTGCAAAGCCTGAACCCCAGAGGGTCTTCTGTGGGAATTGGAGATAGGGAAGCATACTGTAAATGGCAATTTCCCTTCCATACCCCTAATCCCAAGCCCCATATGTGGGCACAAGCTCCAGCTCCCCTTCATGTGCAGATGTAAGGGGATGCATGGAGCCCTAAGCCCTAAATATCGACCATTTGTGGCCAGCCACAACATTTGCAAATTAACACGACTGAGCTGGATATTTCCCTTCTATGCTTTGGTGCAATACACAGCTCCAAGACTGATCTGGATCCGGATTAAATCAAGTGCATAAAGCAAAACACCAAAGAAAATCCTGCTCAAATTAACAGTAATCTGAAGACAGAGTATAATGTAATATATGTAAGAAATTGTTTTAAGAGAGAAAACCATTTCTTCTGTTCCCCACCAGATAAGCTATTAGCCAAGTGCCAAGAACTCTAAGATCTAATGCAAAAAGTGTGTGTGTGAGTGGGGGGGAGACATTGTACATTACCACTCAGAAGTAAAAAGGAAATGCTAATTTTCATCTGTATTCATTTATATCACTGACAAAGGCTAAAACATAGGAGTAACACAGGGACCATCAGTTCAGAAAAATCTACACCAGAGCCCTAAGCTATTACAGGAGTTGCAAGTGTACAAGGTTATAAAAATCTAATTTTAGTTTTTTACATAAATATATTCAGTTATTAAAGGACCCAGATGGGAGAGGCAATACAATCACCAACAGTGTATAATCTTGATTTTTCCAGCTGAAACAAGTTAGTAAAAAAAAAATCTAATAGGTTGCACAGCACTAAATGAATGCCATTTAAGACATACTAGTTTATTCTGTCTCTTCTTTCTCTGTATTTTTTAAATTATTGTTTTAATTCTCTTCTATTATTCAGGTTTATCCATTTTTCTCCATTCTGCCATCCTCAAATAGCTGTTTTCTTATCATCTTAGCCATAAATTTTCAAAAGCTGCGCACGGTTAATGGAAGTTATTGCCTAAAATGCTACATCAGCAGTTTGAAAAATACAGGGATATATATCTGTCCTTTCTGCATGTAAGCGCTCCAAAACTTACCCTGTAATTAGACTGTCTCCTTGTAGGGCAGTGGCTCCCAGGCTGTGGGTCTGCTGAAGCAGTGTTCAGCTTTCCACTGGCTTTGCTTGCAGTTACACAGAGGAAGCAAAATGCTGTCTATACCAACCTCTCCATTCTATTACTGTATACCAGGGCAGACTGGAGTTCTCAGCTCTCAGTATCCAGCCCATGTAATGCCAGAGCTAACAAGCCCTCTCTCTACTCACTAAAGTGGAAGGACAGAATGCTGCTGCCATCCACCCAAACCAACGGTGGGAAGCACACAAGAGAAGAGATAGAGACAACTACTTTCAGGACAAACTTTACTCCAGAAAGAATTCATTTGAAGGTGTTCTTATTCAGAAGAATTTAAAATGAGTTTAAAACTATTTAAAATTCCCAGACAAATTGTCCCTCTAGAAATATATTTTAACTTAATGTCCTTTATTTAAGTCACTGAAATTCCAAAGTAATAATATTTAAACTAAATGGATTGCAGTAAAGTTCTTGATCGGTTATTTTTCTGAATCCAGGCTGTATAGGAATCTTACCTCCAAGGACCATGCCGGCTTGACAGCACTTTCTCAATCGACATGCTGGACAGTTCTTCCTACGAATTTTATCAACTATGCAGTCATTCCTTCCAGCACATAAATAGTTATGCTGCCCTGTAAACAAGAAAAACCCAGAATTAACACAATGTTTCTGACTGTATCAAAACTATCTCTGAACCAGTGTATGGTGAGCCAAAAATTAAAGCGACTTCAAACCAAAGGCTGACTGTCCCATTACAAGAATCACTAGAGTTTTTTAACGTTATCTTTCAGATATTACCAGCTGACAGTTTTATTATAAAGCAACAGAGGGTCCTGTGGCACCTTTGAGACTAACAGAAGTATAGGGAGACATCTTGCATCTGAAGAAGTGAGGTTCTTACCCACAAAAGCTTATGATCCCTATACTTCTGTTAGTCTCAAAGGTGCCACAGGACTCTCTGTTGCTTTTTACAGATTCAGACTAACACGGCTACCCCTCTGATACTTGAGTTTTATTATAGTAATTGTTTTGGCTTCTTAATGTTCACCAGTCTTCTATAGTTCCAAAATAGGGCATGGACAATATATACTGTTCATGTTACTGTACAATCGAAATTTTGTACATAAATCAGCTAATAGGACCAAATTTGGGATTTCTTCTTTTCTGGGTCTTTTCTCGGATCTTATTTCACTTCTTATAAAACATTTTTTCTCTGTTTCATAGGGTAACTGAGGGTGCTTTCCTTTGAAGGGTTGGGCACCTCCTGCAAGGGGATGAGTATCCTCAACTCCTGCTTCAGGTCACAGAAGCTGGGGCACCCAGCATCCCAGGAATGGGACCTGTTAGAATGCTACATTTGCTCTGCAACCCCTTTCATTGTTCTTGGAAAATGTTATTCCTTTTTCAATTCTATTTGTTACCCTCCACATTTCTCAGCAGATAGGAACACCAAACCCAGTACTTAATTTGTGCCAGGGCTTGAAAGTAAATAAAATTGTTTGAGCCCCAGCATCTCTTTCATGATAAACTAAGCACTGACCAAACCCATTATATATTGGCAAGCTTAATGAACAATACTGACAAAACAAAAAATATGCACATCTTCTATAAAAGTTATGAAATAGTAGAATTTTTTTTTGAGAAAAACATATAACAGGGAATACACACAAAAGAAATGTATATGTACTTTTATTTATCTACCTAACATACTTGTATGGCCACCATTGCCATAGTATCTGAGCAACTCACAATCTTTAATTTATTTTTATGCTAACAACACCACTGTAAGGTAGGAAAGTACTATTACCTCAGTTTTACAGATGGCAAACTAAGGCCCAGATGCCCAGATTTTAAAAGATATTTAGGCATTGCTCTGCTCATTGTTGCAATGCTTAACTGATTTAGGTGTCTAAATCTCATTTTCAAAAAGGATTTGGGCACTTAGAAGCTTAAATCCCTTCAACTGCCAATGAGCTTTTGGCTCCTAAGTGCCTAAACACCTTTTGAAAATTAGATTCGGATTCATAAATCAGCTAGACATTGCAATGTTGAGTACTGCAACTCCTAAATACTGTTAGAAATCTGGTCCGGAGAGACTAAATGACGGCCGAATTCATATCAGAAGTATCTAGCACAGGAGCAATTGAACCCAGGTCTCACGAGTCCCAGGCTGGTACCTGAACCACTGTACAATCTTCACTCTTCTACCTTTGTCTGTTAGTCATGCCAAGAAAATACAGCTTTTGCCATATAAACAAGTTTATTAAACTTTTTTTTAATCAGGAAAAGCAGTGGTAAGGTCCAAAATGGGATCAACCATTGCTGGGATACTGTGTCCAGTTCTGGTCCCCAAGTTTAAGAAGGATGTTGATAAATTGGAGAGGGTTCATAGAAGAATCTCAAGAATGATTAAAGGATTAGAAAACGTGCCTTATAGTGATAGACTCAATAAGCGCAATCTATTTAGCTCAACTAAGCAATGATTATTGGGTGACTGGATTACAGTCTATAAGTACCTACATGGGGAACAAATATTTAATATTGGTCTCTTCAAATCTAGCAGAGAAAGATATAACACAATTCAACGGCTGGAAGTTGAAGCTAGACAAATTCAGACTAGAAATAAGGTGTACATTTTTAATGGTGAGAGCATAAAATTCATAATAGAAAACTTCTTAATTAACCCATTTTAGTGATACAGGGTGCTACATCATTTTAAGAAACTGACAGAAGTTGATTATACAACGCACAAACTTGTTGCATCACCAGGAAGAGGCTAGGAGATTGCAGCAGCACCACAGAAGCATGAAGAGTAAGAAGTGACAAGTACATTTTTAAACAGTTTCTATTCACATGGTGGTGTTCCTTAAATGGAAACAAATCAATGAAGGACAGGAACCATTCAAAGCCTTGAAGATGGTAGAACAAACAGCAACAGCTGGACACTAAGGAAGGAAAAGTTTAGTTAGGTATGATGAAACAGTTCTTAACAGTAAATATATTTGGACAGTGGAACAGTCTCTAAAGGGGAATTCTTTGGGCACCCAAAAGATTCAAGAACCACTAACTAGTGCAAGCAAGGCAGAAGCAGGTGGATCAGACTGAATGATGTATGAAGTAGTCTTTTCTGGTCTTGCAGTTTTAGGATTTGTGTATTCTTCCTGATGTTATGGATACTTTCTTGCTTCAGCAGATTTTCCTTAGCAAAAACAAAATTTTAAAATTTGACTGTAAAGAATTTTAGTCAAATTGAAAGAGTTATGTAATTACTTGAATGTCAGGCTTTATTTTGTGTGTGCTAAAATTGAATCTTATTGTCTTGATGTTATTTTAATGTGAATTACATTCCAGCAATGCTGTCATCTTATTAGCATTCTATTGCCAAGATATAATGTTGTAGTCAAATACAACAAATAATAATGATGGCCCAGTTCTTCTCTCATTCAAGTCAAAGTCAAAATTATGCTCTAAAACATTATTATTCTATCCTGTGATTATTTGATTGCAACTGTATTGCCAATCATTTTAATTATGGATGGGACAACCTGATTGGATAAAACAATCAATCCCAATCTTCACTCATCTGTCCAAATTAACCTCAAATTTATTTTTTGGTGTTTAAAACTTTTTAAATTTTCCCCAACCCAAATGTTTCGGTACCTCCTAATTCTAACCAGGACTTCAAGTGAGTGGAAGTACCAAAATATCAATAGAAAAACATGTTAGCTCAATTATGCAGAGCAAAAAAGGTATGGCTCACGTACAGGAAAGCATCCAAACCTGTGAAATTTGTGTTCCTCCTTTCTGGTGTGGACATGCGAATGTTGTTTCAATCATTGCTTCTTTTTATGTGTGTATTTATTTTCAGAGCAGTTGTTGTTTGATTTAGTTATTTACTGCCAATGGTAATAAACACGTCTGAAATGGTGGCTATGTAACTCAGCTGCTGTTTTTTGTATCCCCTTTCTTTGCCCACTTCTGTTCAGCAAGAGTTGTTCTACAGATATACAGTAAGGACAATCTGAAAATGTCCTCTCGGTAACGGGTAATAGGTACAGCTATGAGTACTTATTTCATGAGAAAAATGGCATTGTCTTCTGGCAAGATGCTAAGAATTACTACCAAACCATCCAAAATAGCATGTTTTTAGTTTTTGTTTTAAATGTTCACATTCATTTTTTAGCATTGTTGTAGCCATGTTGGTCTCAGGATATTAAAGAGACAAGGTCAGTGAGGTAATATCTTTTATTGGACCAACTTCTGTTGGTGAGAGACACAAGCTTAAACAGGGCTCTTCCTCAGTTGTTACTGTTGCCTTCTTCCATGACATCCGCACCATGATTCCTCTTGCCCCCCTCCCACCCCCACCGAGTGAAACATTAAAAAGCAACAAAACAACCCTTCGTATTTCTGGCCACAGACCAAGAAGCACAATGCTTATTTTTAACCATATCCCTCGCCTTCATAGTCTGTGCAATATTAAGTTGATCTCTCGCCTACTTTGCCTTAGTTAGCTTTGAAAGCCCTCGCAGTATTTCTCTATGCTACTGTTACACTACAGAGGCTTTAAGAGAAGAAATAGGGCATACTCAGTATGTATCTAGTTTTGAAATGATTTTATTGGTTGGAATCATTTTATTGGACTATACTATATGCAGCAATATGTCAGAGTCCGCCTGCTGTCTCAAATATTGATACTTTCAGGAAACTCAAATATAAGTAAGCCATCTGTAGGAACAGAGATAAAAGTGGGTGATGTTTTCCCTCTGGAAGTATCACTTATGGATCCTTTTATTTTTTTATGTCCCTACCCAGACTTACATAAACATCCACTGTCCTTTCAACCAAGGAAATAGTTCCAGACTCATTTTTGACTGTGGCCATGTTGCTCCTTAGTTATTCAAATGCTTTGATATTTACCAATAACAATTGCTCCTCTGTCCCTTGAACACGACAAACAACTACTTCTGAATATGAACAAACCAAGACAAGGGCCTGGTCTACACTACGAGTTTAGGTTGAATTTAGCAGCATTAAATCAAATTAAGCCTGGACACGTCCACAC